ATGATAGAGTACTGTTCGAGCTAACTGAGCATGTAGACTCCAAGACGTATTAGCGATCCCACGTCTTAATGATAGTTCTCACCGATATGGGAGATTAGGTACAGCAAATTTTAGATATCAATCTCATTTTGATGATACATGATCAACGCTGTATTTTTAAGAACTCTGCGTCATTACTTTAATAGAACTGTGTTGTCTTGGGTGTCTAGATATACGTAATGCTCTTGATTGGTCGTGTTGGTCATTCTCCAAACGTTTACCGGGAATCCTCGCACACAGGAACATTCTGGTATACGTGACCTGTCCATAGGGCACGTGTTTTTGTCCCCAAAGTGACAGGTCTAACGAGGGTGAAGACATTTATTGATCTGCCACTTAATGCAAATTGAAAAAGATCAATAAATAATGGAGAGCTATCGATCACCTAACCATCGATAGTAGAATCAGTGCCTCGTCTGTCGTCTGCAATGAGCAATTTTCACATCACTATTCCTCCTTGAATTCTGTGTAACGGACTTAACTTTCTCCGAAGAGACGTTTGTATCAGGCAATTGCTTTTCAAGAAGCACTTAAAATTAACGTTTGAACATCTGTTGAGCGAAAATATATGAAATATAAAAATTCTTGGGATTAATGTAGCAAAAAGCGCATTTCCTAAAGAATTGTTTATGTTAAATTAATGTGGAGTAAAGCACATTTGAATATGTTAACTTTATATATCATGTATGCGTCAATGTGCAGTGAAGTGTCATTACATATAATTGATTATCAGCATGTCCATTTCCCTGGTTATATATTGCAGATAACAAATAGGGCCATATTGAAGAAAAACAGATCATCAATAATTTTTAGATATATAACTGAACGTTGCAATGGACATAACGAATTTATGTGAACAATACACATTTCATAATCATTGATACATGAACGTGAGGCTTCATGAAAATATACGAAAATTGGCTTACGAGGAAACTGTGATGAGTTTGAAGCACATAACTTGTAAACTTTTGAATTTATAGACACTAGGAAAATACTAATATCACTCGAATTTCAGCTTGAAGTCTATGGTAAAATAGATTCAAGGCTCAGCATTCAATATACAATCATATAACATGACATTTGTTTTCTGAGAGTCGATATATATTTTACCCCGCTTATTTTGATATCAGACGAAAGTTTACGACCTTCGACAAAAAAAAATAGAATATTTATTAATTTATTTGTAAAAATGTATTTGTTTAATGATATTAGTGTCACATGGGGATGAAGATGCGTCACCATGGAGTCTGATATCCTGATAGGAAATTTCGCCCAGGGATTTAAATGATATCAGAATGCGTGGCCGTACCATTTTCCGTTCCATTTGTTAATCACTTTGTAGGTCAAATTTCACTAATTTGTTAAATATTTAGTTAGCTCGTCACCTTGCTGTTGCCTACTGGGACAACAATCTGTTTGAGGCTAATTCCTCCCATAACTGAGTGTGAAAAAATATTTGCCGCTTAGGAAAACGAGCAAAGCGGCAAATGTATACTCGTTTTTTTATAAGTCAGGGTCTAAGTCACGTGATATAAAGAGGATGATATTGAGTGATTCCATTTGTTTTATCCAAGAATGATTAATCTCTTGATATGGACAATTAATGAGGTCTGTGATACCAGAATAATAATAAGTAAATGGTCGAATCAAGAGATTTTCATTTTGGATGATATAAATGGTCATAAATTATATCCTATGTGACACATTGCACGGAATCGCCAACACTGTACAACCTGGCATCCTACATGGCACCTGTAACTAAATTATACATGTTTTATGTAACAGGTTTTTTTCTGGGCAACAATGAATAAAAATGTACGGTACACCTCTAACGATACCCTGTGTATTAGCAAGGTCGATATTTATATAGAAATACTGTGTACAACGAAAGTATTTTAAAGAAATTTATCCGTCGCGACCTAGGTTTTAAGATATTTAAAAAAGAAGATGATCATGTATATCTCTCTTTCCTTCCTCTCTCTCTCTCGCTCTCTCTCTCTCTCTCTCTCTCTCTCTGCTCCTCTCTCTCTCTCTCTCTCTCTCTCTCTCTGCTCACTCTCTCTCTCTCTCTCTCTCTCTCTCTCTCTCTTTCTCTTTCTCCCTTTCAGCCTGTATTGCCAAAGAAAAGACATTCTTAATGGATGAGAGGATCGGGGCTCCTACAGTTTCTTATAACTCCAGCAAACTATTCTAATCATCCCCATAAGATATCACTCTAGGGGATTAACTCGGCAGGACAGAACTAATAACTACGAATGTTCCCTGTTCTTTGAAAAAACTTTAAAACCATTCCGAAATAGAGGGGACTTTGGGTATTTGCAATCATTTTAAGGAATACCTAGAGATTGCCACACACCCTATGGTGTTTCGAAATAAAATCCAATTTGCATCTTGTGGTCTTCAACTGGTGTTTTGCCTTAATCTCTTTAATTTGTCTACCGTTTAATATCCATCAGTGAGGTATTCGTTTTCATATCCCCTTTCGGTGATTTTATCCCCTAAGTCGTTCCCTGTCCGGGAAATCTTTAAAGTGTCTTTGTTTATGTGGATGTAGATTTCATTCAGAATATCTTATGAAGGGGCGTATATCATTCGGATCAGGTTTCGCTCGCGAAATAATTATAATGGTTTGTCAGATCTGCTTAATTTTCTTTATGTGTTTTCCAAATTTATCGGTACCAACCCTTTCGTTACCTTTTGGAATACAATATGCGGCATAAAGTCTGACGTCATACAACCTTAAAGTATTTCTCCATTACGGTGTTATGATTGTGTTTTCCCGACGGCGTTACTAGTAGATGACGAAAGTGAGTATACACGTCATAGGGGATGATAACATACACTATTCACTAATGGTAATTACAAAATGAAATGGGATAAGGATCTATCTAAAGCCTGACGCTTCCTCAGATCCTCCCATCACAAGGAAGGTATCAAATACACGGCTGCGATGTTTTGCACATTCAATCTAATCGTATCATTCTAATATGACACATCTCACATTTGGGATGATATTTTATCCACTCTCGCTCATTTTGATATTTGAACGATTGCAGAACAACTGAATAACTTCATACTTTGCTAATACAATTCATATACCATGTTTATTTTTGTTTGCATAATTTCAATCTCTTACATGCACAAGCTACGTGTAGAGCTGAGTGCAGTCTATTGGACCAGTCTATTTTTAAAGTAGTTTCAACATATTGCAAAAACGTCGTGAATAGGGACAATGTAAAGAAAGGATATTTAAGAAAATAGAAAAGCTAGCGCCGGATGCTAATTTTGGTGTTTTTCTTGGGTTTTAAGGCTGACCAATCTCAAAATATTATTTAGTAGTTCGTTCTTATATAGCGCTCTTCAGGACTGCATGCCCTCCCAAAGCGCTTTACAGATATATGAGAGTTACGACTCAAAATTCATTTGTTTTCTTTTCGTAACTCCGTTAATATTAACGGAAGTAACCGATTTAGCCCACATTGCCACCAGTAATGTAATCCAATGCATTGCCATTGGCTTTATTAAATAGGAACTGGCCGATATAGCACCTATTGCTTGTAGTCATGTATGATCTAGTGGAATCGAATGTCGTATTGTTTCGTAGGCTTTTCATAAAAATCAGTTTTATCATACCTTACACTTTAGAGCAATAAAAATGAATTCATAAGTTCGTGTTTTTATTCGAACGTTCTCTTTTTTTTCTCTTCAAGTATATTCTTGTACATGATTCATATGCTAATTGAAATGATTCATATCAAAATACAGAAATGTCAACCTTCTAATATTCAGAGTAGGAAGACGGTCACAACTAAAAAAAAAATGCATTTCGATTAACGATGTTAATTTGTTTCTCATTTCTATAAAAAGAGATGAGTGCAGAATAAATGTGATTTTTCGTTTGACCATATGATTATATTTTAAAACGTCAGTGAAGGTGTCATGTCCACATTTTTTGCATATAATATGAACATTAAGAGAGATTACCAACTCTTTTAATTATAATATCTGAAGTAAGGTATTAAATTAATTTCGGATATGAAAAAATCATAACGACCCGAGTTTTGCCGGTGACTTCATTACACATTAACTAGAATAAACTATATATTATAAGGCAAAGGTAACAGATTTATGACTTTAAAAAGCAAATATTTTCGAACATGGTTTCAGAGGTAAAATGATTAGTCACTATATTACACATGGACTTTGAAACAATATAAATCTCTGGTTATTTTTCATTTTCCGCTCTTTTTGCGGAAGAGCTTTTGAAGTGCACACCACTTTTTTGTGAGAAGTATTTATAGGGATATCTTTAAATTTCGAAGAGAAAAGCGTTTAATTTCATTTAAGGAGAGATGAATATGAATATCACACTGTCAACTGAACAAGGGTTAGGGCCTTTCCGAATCTGTAATTTTATTTACGTATGTAATTTGATAATATTTTGTCTGGTCATATTTATCTGGAAAATTTATGAATGTGACATAGAATCGAGATGAGAATCAAATATAATATATTTGAATGGGCAATCCTATCCGCCCTTCCCTTTTTCTCGTTATTTCACGTTCTTACCTAAATGTCAATCTCTCTCTCTCTCTCTCTCTCTCTCTCTCTCTCTCTTTCTCTTTTTTCTCTTTGGCCTTGTTGTTTCGCTTGTCCTGTGCTATCCCTAATTTCCCTACATATATGTTTCTCTTTTATTTCCATTCTGTTTTTATCATGATTTCATATTAGCATCTCTCCCTCACACACACAAACGCACACACACACACACACAAAATAAAAAAATATTTGTCTTTCTCGTATACCTTATAGGCCTTCTAATTGCAAACGAAACAATCAGTGACTGTGAGAAGGCTCTCATTCTTTTGCTTAAACTTAATTATGACACGACTTTGCGTCGTACAACCAAATCCGATATGTCATTGATTATTTGTTTCTTTATTTTTTTTTTTTTATTGCAGAAAGGAGCCGTCGATCTGGGTTTTTGTTGGAATCGTTTAAACCTGTCTCAATGGATGTACTAAGGAGGGTTCTGCAGAGCAAACACGAGGCGGCATTGGCTCAAGCCAGGAATAACATAATTGACAGAAATAATGAAATAATGACCATGCAAGGTAGGAGATGATAGATTTAATTGTAGCTTACGGAGTTTTATTTTGTAAGAAGACGTGCCCACAAATCACTATTTCACAAATCAGCAGTGACAAACAAACCATGCTGTATATTCTTGTTCCAAATATTTGATTTAATTCAGATTATAAATATTAGTTTTTGAAGATGTTGTACAAGAATCTACTTTGATTTTTGACTGTCTTATCTTTTATATACGAACTTAAATGTAGAAGCAACTCATGGAAAAGTATATCAAAAAGAGAAAGATGTGGGATTTGAGGGCATTTTCTTGAACAATTTTCATTGAGAACATGAAAGTGTAGATAACATATAGCGCTACGATATAGTAAGAGGTCTCTTATAGCTTCAAAGGTTTTCTCACAATAATACTTTCAAGATGGTCTGCAGTGTTGACTAACATCAGGTATTTGGTGGAATCGTGTAATTCTTGGGCTCGCTGTACAGAAAAAAGCTAGCTCTCTTAAAGTCAAAATGAAGAAATATTAGAATAAACATTAACATTGCTGTAGCATGGTGGCTTAATAAACGTTTTGAGTATTCCTGTGGTTCATCCTCTCACCAACAAGAGGCCCCTTCACTTAGCTATCTATTTAAAGAAGAAAGACTACCAATGATTGAGACAAAGCAGAGAAAGACTATTCTGCTACTAGCTAGGGACCGGGTCAACAGCCGGTAATGTAAATCCATGGGGATTGGAGTCAATCTCGCCCCCATCCCCAGCAACTCTCGCGAGATTCTTTCGATGGGTAGCGAGAGCTCTTCACACGTACCTTGCTGTCCATACAACCTGCATATTGCTTGCAGTATGTATGCCAGGCCATAACTGCATGGTCGGGATTGAAATCACAAGAAATGCACACAACTTTAAAGCAGGTGTTATTGTACAAAATCAGGACAATGATTTAAGAAAACACCGATCATTTGTGATTCGTTTCCCATGTCCAATTCTATTTTTCATAAACTGGGAGCAGGACTGCAGAGTGATATATATATATATATATATATATTATGTTGCTGCTGGTAGATTATATAAGAGGGTATATTTGTTAAGGTCACGAAAAAAATGTAAGTCGTAACGTTAATCACTGTGTTCATAATATTTTGTCATTTACCAATTTACTACATTTTCTTGCATCGATTCTGTGCATCTTATCATGTTTGATTATTTTGATTCAGAAAGAAGTGCAAAGAAAACATGTTGTGCATTGACGAGTCCATTTCTGTATTTCGGTCCAAATTTCTTAAATGTGGTGAAAGTTTATACATTTAGTCGTACTTTGCAACACAGTAGAAATGGGGAGAAAGATAAATTAAAATGTCTTGACATAAGCAAATGTGTATCGGATTCGTTTAGTATGGTTCAATTTCATATTAAACCAAACATTCAGCAACCGTGGCGAAAATAAAAGATTAAGAGAAATCTTTCAAATTGTAAAGGATCTTTTGAAGCGTGTTGTGCTTCATCGATTTATTGTAGTATTTCGTGCTAATAAGTAGGTTGTTTATAAGTTAAGGGTTACATTTCTTTCCTTTTTTATCTATGCGGTCCATACGTACGGCCATCGACTTCGAAAATGTACAATCGTCGTTAACCCAAGTAGTCAGATTTATTCATTTTATCAGACCAGTGTTTCAAGGGGATTTAGTAAAGAAATATTAAACTTAACATGTCATTTCTCATTCAAATTCTAGTCCATGCCATAATTACAGTAATTAGAAAGTTCTTACATTACCAATTTGTGTAGAATACACTCTCTATTATATGATGTTTGTTTTAAAGTTCATAATCAAATTTGCTACAAAGGCCTAGACGAAACATGTTTGCTAAAATAAATGCTCTTTCTATGTATAATGTATTCCAAGGTATGTCACAGTATTTTCCCTCTAACGGTCGGTGTTCATAATGAAGTACGATCGAAATGTATTTCCTCCATTGTTCCCAAACATGCGTACAATTAGGTTCTCTATCAATTAATACACTACCTAAATGCATTTCATAGGGCGAGAATGTTCGAGTTCCTTTGCTCCCGTTTTCAAGCTTTTAATATTATATCAAAGAGGTAAAATAATGTCATATTCTGTAATGGTGATGATAAAAAGATACAGCCAGTACACTCTAGCGCTTGAATAGTTCTAGTACTACAAAACAAAAAAAAGTACAAAGTTATACATGTATATGTATATTTGTGTTTGTTGTTTGGTTGTGGAACACTGAGTTTTTATTATGTGAATTCATCAGCGTGTTCTTTTTCTCCGAGTATTTCATTTGTATTTCCCCCATTATCATCGTGTCTCACTCACTCTCCGTTTTCTATCTATTCTCTTTCACAATATCTCTTTTTCTCTTCCTATCTCTCACTTTCTCTCTCCCCAACTTATTTTCCTATCTTCAAAATTTATCTCATTTCCTGCCTGTCTCTTGTATTATGTCCTTCTGTAGTCAAGCTCTTTAAACAATCATATTCTATCCATTCTTCGCATATATTCGTGACCTTTGTTTGAGAACCCTTAGAGTGATAATGGTAAAAGTTAAATTAATTATGAAGTAAATTATATTGTACCATGAACAGGATATTCCCCGACGCTTCATCTTAAAGTACTTGTATATATCAATTTGTTATTTAAAACTAAATTTATCATGGAAACAAAGTATATTTTCTATGTCATCGTGTGCTATTACGTTCATGTAAACACAATTATTTCTTTATATTTCACATGCTGTATTATTAAATATTTATCATCTGGTCAAAAAATATGATCCACTCCTGTATTATCTGCTTATCATTATTGAGAGGGAAATTATCTGCATGTGGATTTAAATGTGCTTGTGGAGATAGTGTATGCGTTTCTGTGTGTGAGTGTATTTGATAATCTATTAATAAAAAGATCCTCTTGTATTTCTACAATTTCCTTCAGAGCAAGCAACGTTGCTAATCCCTTTCAAAAGTTGAAAGAGAAGACATCTTTTAACACAAAGTATGGATGAAACCACAGGCGTGCTGATAAGGGTGGTGGTTAGGAGGCAGTTGCCCCCTCCCCCAATAAAATTCAAAGGTATTTTTTCCCCTTCTAATTCGATAAAAAAAAAATTTAAAAAATTGTTTTGCTCATAACGCCACTAGATAAAACCTTTCTTCAAGATAGATGCAAAGATCAATACCACCAAAGTCTGATGGTGGAAAATATTGAAGACAAAATCTACTGTTTTTTTAGCATAAGTTATTCATGTATTTCTCATTAGAAAAAAGGTATACAGTGCGAAGTCTTTTGGATTTAATTTAGTAACATTTGAGATTACAGATTACATTATTCAACTTAAAGCAGAAAATTTGTATGAGTCATTTTGCTAAAGTGAGCATAATCACCGTCTCGGGTATAAAAAGGCCATTTTCGTAATTAAATCAAATTTAGTGCATAAACATTTTTTAAGTGCCTAGATACATTTCATTCACCTGTTACGAATAATTGTTTTTCAATAGTCAGAATGCAAATGGTAAAACATTAAGTGTTGTTAGGTAGGGCAAGCCAGGCGCGGATCCAGGATTTCTTAGGGGAGGGGGCCCAACTTTTTTTTTTTTTTGCTCCCGAAAATTTGAAAATCGCGCCGGCCGAAAAGTCGCTCAGTGGGGGGGGGGGGGGGGGGAAAGCACAATTTTTTTTTTTTTTTTTTTTTTTTTTTTTGCTCCCGAAAATTTGAAAAACGCGCCGGCCAAAAATTCGCTCAGTGGGGGGGGGGGGGGGGGGGGGGGGGGGGGGGGGGGGGGGGGGGGGGGGGGGGTAGCACAAAAATTTCAATTTGCACCCCCCCCCCCCCCTTGAGCGCCAGGGGGGGGCCCCAACCCCCCAAAAAGGTAAAAATCACGTGATTTTACATGATTTTTTTCTCAAGGGGGGGGGGCCCGGGCCCCCCGGGCCCCCCCCCCCCTGGATCCGCCACTGGGGCAAGCCATAATGTTTCTTCTACCTCGCAACAACTAATGTATGCAATTTTCATTGTGACTATTCGTAAAAGGTAATGAAGTGATTTGTAATGAGGCACTTAAACAAACACGTATGCATTAAATTTGAATCGATTACCATTATGGCATATTGGTGTAGTAGAATATAGAGCTATGTGTGTGGGTGGGAGGTAATTGCTGCTGCACAATTAGCAATAGTGCTTTGAACTCTGCTAGAGAGGCCAAAAATTTAGTAAACAAATTAAAAACCTCTCACAAGCAAAAGAAAGAAAGATGTGGGAACATATCTGAGCGACCGCCGCCCTGGCATGTTAATCTCTCATTTCATTTGGAGGTTTGTTAAGGAAAATTAAAAGCACAGTGTTTTCATCTTCGTCTTGAATTACATAATAGATAGGGATGTCTTAAACCATGAACCTAACACATGTTCAATACAACACACTCTCGAAATAGTATGTCTTTCTCCATTCTGCTATTGAATATTTGACATGAAATACTCGACTAGGGAACATCATTTATTAACGTGAAGACACCAATGCATAACACGGATCTTCGAAAAGGTTATTCCGTAAAAATGTAGTCCAGGTATTTCCACTGGGAAACCCAAGTAAGAGGAGACGACGAAGGTCTCGATGATACAGTTCAGTGATCAGGAATCAAGGGCACTTGAGACTTTGAGGACTTCGTGTGCGGACGACAGTCGATCGACAATATCAATGATCAAGTCCCGGCGCTTTATCGTTAAGCGACCAGGTAAGAACTAAAATTTTACATGAAGAGCTCACCAAGATAAATTCTGTCAAACGAAGTAATAAATTTATCAAGACAAACACAAATTTGCCAGGTTCTTGTTGACATCCCTTCTCTCTAATTGTCCCTATGATCAGCGGAAACTATGTTCTACTGGATTCGCCGAAACCTAAAGAAGAAAGAATGCAGTCGATGAACGGAGGTACTTTCAACTTGAAATGAAGATTTTAGTAACGACTGCAAACAGGATATTGATACTTGACTTTTGAAATGGAGCTTTTGAAGTTTGAAGCATCAACGTAAATCCATGTCGACGCGTCGAAAAAAGACTGTGTGATTTATAACCTCTCTCACTCTCTTTCTCTCCCACTCTCCTTTTTTTTTTCTCTCTCTCTCTCTCTCTCCCCCCCCCCCCCCTCATCTCTAATTCTCCAGAGAACTCTCTCACACATTCACGCACGCACACACCCACGCACACACGCGCGGACATGCATGTCTCAATAACCATGATAACGGGTTTCCGAAAAACATGTTATTTCTACCACACAATCATTCACTCTCACACTTCCACCCATTAGGGCAAACACACGGTGACGCTCACACTAACACACCCACACACACCCACACAATCACATACACACAAACAAAAATCTATTAACCCCAAAGAGTTGATGAGTTGAAAAGAAATTTTATTATGAATAGCCACTAGTAACCATTATGAGGATCCACAACGGTCTATAGTTGGACCCTTGATGTCAATCATGTATATTAATACGTTACTGCTTCCAATCGCCCAGCCCACTCAAAAAATAAACATTTACGCAGATGATGTAAAAGTAATTATTTTTATGGAAGAACGTCTGAGAACGATTAATTGATATAATCATGCAATGTGTTATTAATGATATTTATTTTTTTTTGGTCGAAAGACTTCAAAGTGACACTCAATGTAAAGAAACTAAGTTTTAAGATATTTCGTACACGATAACGCCCTAGTGCCTTTAAAGGTACTATGTCCCTTTTGCAGCCAACCTCAAATTCTGTAGAACTTTGCAGGAATCATGAATATGTCATGTATGTCCTATTCTGTGAAATTTAAACGTTAGCAGTGTCCTCATATTCAAATTATGCAAGGAAACCTGTTTACTTGCTAGACTTCACTGTCAGACACTATTGAGTGACTGACTGGCTTTTTTCTTCTTTGGTAATAACATACATGAAAAGAGTTGTAAAGGGTACATGAGCATTTGTCTACATCAATAACCCACTTCTTGTGATGGCCAAGATTAAACTGATTGAATCTTTGCGCAGCATAAAACGTATGACCATTCGGTACAATTGTCTGAAAATCAAGACTATTACTTTTGACTTGGCAACTAATAGTCGTTATTTTCCCACTTGAAGACATTTTCAAGCCCCACTTTTTTTAGGGAAGTTCTAAATTAGTATTATCTTTCAAATGCAGTAGGAATTTAACTTTTTCATTTTTTTGGCCTGCAAATGGGACATAGTACCTTTAACTTACTATAAATGACAAAGAATTTGAAAGGTTCAAAGAATTTAAATATTTAGGTGTCTTTTTAGACATGACTGGTTTAGACAGATGTAAAATGTACCTTTTTGAAAAACAAAATAAAAAATAAAAACCAAAACAATTTTCGACAAGTCAAGCAGCGATGTCGTCAACAAGAGGTCTATGCGTCTCTTTGTGTAGTATGTCTATTCCGCGGTTATTCAAGCCTCAAGAAAAAAAATCCGTCTTCGTTAATGAAAGCTTCGAATATCTACATTTTGCCTATTTCCGTGGGATTAATTTCAGAAGGTAACCCTACACGTGACGTATTTAGATCCATTAGCCCCCATCATTGCCTAAGGGATACTTATGAACACGTCATATAGAAGATGATAGCATGCGCAGATTCTTATTCAAAAGGACCACGATGCCCTACCTTATAATAGAGAGGAGTATATTTAAAGATCGCTGATCTTCTATGTGATATGTATTTGATAGGGGACACAATACTTCTCATTGTCATAGTTGTAGAGTAAATCATTCGAAGATCGCTGGAAGGTATCTTGACCAACATATTTCTGACTTTCTACCTTCCAATCTAAATTCATTTTCAAAGCATACATTAATAGCTGAGGGTGACTTTTCCTAGCCTCCTTAGAATACCCAAAATTGGAGCGACAGAATAATATATTTTTTTTAAATGAAAAAATAATTAAAACGAGGCTACAATAATCGTCTGTTAAAAGTTCGTGGAAACTTTACTTGTTCCCACTTTTGTAAATGTAAGGCTAATTTACCATCCCTCCCTGCAATATTCTTTTTTCTTCCCTAAATTTCAACTGTTCTTTTTGAAAATCTCCCCAAAGACAAT